TACTTCTAATTTCAAAATGATCTGCTCTATGACAGCACACATCTTGCATATCCTCAACACTTCATTATTGCCGTTTCCTTAGAGCCACTGTTTTCTAGAGGTCTGATGTTCACATATGAAGAGGTTTTCTCAGAGCCGGTTTTGGGAGGAGATGGGATCTTTTATTGCATGCTGTGCCTTAGTTACAAAGTGTTGTTTTTCTCCTATCTATGTGAAATGACCCTTAAACAGCAACTTGTCAGCCTTTCTGTTTGTCTGCACATGGTCTCTCCACTCTGAGTGTGTTGTACGCAGGGCCAGAGATCGACATTATTTCATTATTGTGAAGTTCAATGCAGGATCTGTACCGTTTACATACTCATTTTGCACATGCATAATTATAATGTGCATAATTGCACACTCTCTGCATTATATTGTGTTCCTGTTGTATTTTTATTTGCGTCCTTCACCTGCTGCTTTAAAGTGCCTTAGATTTGTGTTACTGCCCATTTAGATTTGCGTTATTGCTCATCTACTTTATATTTCACTAGTTTTATGTGGCATTCATGTGGACGGCAAAGTAAGAATTTCATTGTACAGGGAAACACATTTCCTAACTGTGCATATGACAAACACAATATCGTTGAACACTTTGACCTTCAGATAAGTCATCCAACTAAAAATATGTAAGAATCCTGAAATAAAAAAAAAAGAAACATCAAATTGATTGTTTGATTTACAAGATTCACAGTAAAGACATTGTGTTACTTGTGTTCTACGTGTTTTTGCAGAAATCAGCTACTATCCAATTCTGTCAGCATAGATGCCCCCAGGGATGTGTATGCTCCCTGCTGCTGTTTTCCCTCGACACAAATGACTGCACCACAGAGGACCCCCTCTGTTAAACTCCTAAAGTTTCGAGTTGGCCTACAGACGGGAGATTGAACAGCTGGCCCCATGGTGCAGTTGCACCAACCTGGAGCTGAACACGCTCAAAACAGTGGAGATGACAGTGGAATTCAGGAGCACCTGTACATGTCACAGGTCAAAAGGAGAGCAGAGAAGATTTCTGCAGACCCCTCATATCCTGGACACAAACAGCTTGAAGTCCTCCCCCCCACAGCACTACAGGTCAGTGAACGCCAAAACAAACGGACACAAAGACAGTTTCTCCCCCTGGGCCATCACTCTGATGAACACGTAACCCATGACTGTATAACAGAACGACAACCCTTGGTGCAATACCTTGAAAATATACTTTTGTATATATATCTTTAAATGTATATTTAAACTGTATGTATATGCACATACTCTATATTTTATACTTCTAAGTATTTATTTTTATTTTTCTAATCCATTCTTTTCCTATACTTGTTCTTGTTTACTTAGTTTTATTTACCCAACAGTCTTGTTTACTCGTTGCCTTATGAAAGAACACTGAACATATACATCGAGAGCCGTTGTACCAAAGTCAAATTCCTCATGTGTTCACCACACCCGGTCAATACAGCTGATTCTATTTTTCATTCTCTATCTTTGCAGCACCAGTTGAACTCTCTGGAGAGTTGCTGTGTAGCCCTGCATGGGTCAGCTGAGAAGTCTTCACTCACCATGTGGTGCCAGTGTGGTGTATCCTATCTGTGGGATGCTCCAGGGGCTCCACTCGGTGCGACCCTCCCCACGGGCACAGACCCTGAACAAATAATCCGTGTGATGGTCCAGGTGGAGAACCAGGAACTCACAGTCCCGACCAATGTAAGAATCCTCATATTGGCTCCCCCCACTGCCAGACCGCCGGTGCTGTAGCCGGTAATCTGCTGCTGCAAAGTCCTCATCCACCTGATGCACACATATTAACAACAAAGTGCTTTATTCGTACATAAACATCTTCACTGTGTATGTGACTGTCTTTGCCTTGCTGACCTTACACCAGCGGACCAGGATGCCTCCCGGTCTCTCCTGCAGTTCCTCTATCTGGACAGGTGGATGGGAGGAGACGGAGCCGTGGCGGGACACCCGTTCCCTCATCACCACCAGCAGGGAATCATCCAGCTGGGCTGAAACGCATGGCACATCCACCAATGCTGGTACCTCTGGTAGACTGGAAAACACACAGAACTAGTTAAAAAACATTTCAAGAAAGTGGATAAGTGCTAACTGTTCATATAAAACTGGTATTACTGTATGGGATAATCACATGCGCTTTTTTCTTCAGTGGATACCGTTGCCGATGGATAGAAGCCACCTGCAGTTATACCAACCTGTCCAGTTGAATGTGCATTGCCTTCTTGGTGAAACTGCCAAGTTTGTCCTCCTTCTCCCCAAGACCACAACGCAGAGCTGCTTCCCCTGGAGAGAGAGCGAGAGAGAGACACCATACATTGGTGTATGACTTCTTTAAGTGATTAGAGGTGAGGATGACATGATTTCAGGAGGAAAATACTGTACAGTTATTTACTTTTTTCTGATTAGGCATCATTATAGCGAACCGACAGAAAATAAGCACACCTCTGCTCTTTCCTGAATATATTATCTGTTCATGGTTTCTGCCCAACAACAGAGATGTGCGTGTTGTATTTGGGGGGACCCACCTTCTCTCAGCAGCTCGTCAGCCTGGCCCACCCCATGCTCAATAAGGCTCTGGCAGTCATCTAGCGGTTTGACGCTGCCAGCCTCGATGGCGTCCACCTCGCCCAGCAGGGTGGCTAGTCGCTCAGTAAGCAACCGAGTAGCTGCTGCCTGCAGCTCCGCAAAGTGTCGCCGGAGGGCCTCACGGGCCTGTCCGGAGCTTCCCCGGACCTACACAACAGAGGAAAGAGGAAGGGTGCAGGGAAGGTGAGGATATGAACAAACAGGAGGGAATAGTGCGTTTATTGAGGACCGTTTTAAGCAGCATAGAAATCCACATATTGTGCTGTAGTGAGTGAAGGATGGTGTTTTTAGTAGTCTTTAGACAATGGATTCTATGGCACAGAGGAATAAAATGCAGTACATCAGGCTTTGGATACACAGGCAATACTACTTCTATACCACACAGAGTGCCAACACAGACTACCTCATTCACTGACAAGTAATTTGTCAGGAAGTTTGTCATCAGAGGTAGAGTTCATGTTTCACTTCCTCCTCGCAAAACACACGTTTATACTCAAACACACATGCATGCACACACACACACACACACACACACACACACACACACACACACACACACACAAGGATTTCACAGTGAGTATACAGAGCGAGCCTTAGAGAGACAGTAGCAAACGGAAAGCGGACTGACAGCTGCTGCACTGATAAAGCAGAGACAGTAGGAATACGAGAATGGAAAACACACATTGCGTTTTTGCCTGAATACACATTGAGCTTTGTGTTGAGGAGACACAGGACATTTTCCAGTGATGACACTGCATCGCTTCCTAATGACTAATGACAACCAACGATCAATATTGTGGTGATGGTAAACAATTAGTCTAACATGAGAGGAGATGATCTGACAGCAGATGACAGAAACAAAGAGTTTCTCCAAATGTTTGGACAATGCCTCTTAAAAAGACAAGATGTTGCAGTGATTGTATTGTCTGATTTTCAAGCATACACATTCTTATCTCCTTTCTCATTCTGTGCCTGTGTGTTTGTGAGAGTGGTGTGTGTGTGTAATGTTTCCTGGATTCCTACAATCAGTCTTGACCCATCCCTGCTGTGGGAAAAAGGGGGGTTATGGGAAAGAAACCCCGCCTCTCACTCAATCCAATGTGTGATGGAACAGCTGAGATAGGGGAGAGGGAGTCTGATATACACAAGCAAAAAATGTTTCTGCATGCCAGAGTTTTAAAGTGAACGTGTACAGAAGTGTGCAAAGATGTGAGACACTAAAGATGTTAAGAGTCTCCATCAGGGAGGCCTATGACTTGTCCCAAAGCCCTAAAGAACAATCTTCAAAGACAAAAAGAACCAGGAGCCTTTACCTTAGTTGTCTAAATGTTAAACACACAGAGGTGGTCCCCATAAAAACACAAACTGCCATGTTTATGCTTCGGTTTTTGTACAGATCAAACAAACAAGAAACAAGATGTTCAATAGTGAACTTAAAGCTGCTGGTAGGCAGATTTTGTTGCCTTTGGATAGAGGTAAGCTAAGCTAACTGGCTGCTGGCTGCAGCCTCGCATGCAGCGACAGTGATATCAAATACTGTACATCAGACTACTTCAAATTTCTTAGTACCCAGTGCTCAAAGCAGTGCTCTCTTTTGCATCTCTTGCATAAAAAAACAATTAAACAACTCAAGATATTTCATCATGGACCCAAGTGTGGCACCAATACACTAACTGACATCTTTGCAGTCATGCTGCAGGATCAGCTTCAAAACTGATCACTGGCAAATTTAAATATGTGCTTCAAAGGGCTGGGTGTCAAATCTCTGACCAAAATGTGTCTGTAGCCTGTCAAACTATCAAATCCTGAAGGTTGCCATCAAATGGATAGACAGATTAGTATTTAGGCATTCAAAAGTAAACCCAATAAATTATTTGTATAAATAGCTGATAAACTGAGTCCAGGCCTTCTGCTTTTGGTCTTTCTTCCCTTGTGGTCCATCCATAGCAACAGGAAATAGCAGCATTGTTTACTGTGAGCAGTTGGACGGGTAAATCTAGACAGCAGGAGGAAGGAAGAGATAGCAGAGACAGGGAGAACACACTCTCCTGGGATTGTTTTGGGTCAAGGACTAACACACTTTACATTGCCCTGGCCTGCCAGAGCCTTTGTGCCAGTTAAAGTATATTAAAATCAGACAAAGGGTGGTCAGAGTGGGAAATCCATCATATCTCAGAGGACAACATTGGCTGAGCCAGATTTCGTCACAAAGTGAACCAGAAAGATGACTCTAAGGAAGTTATGAGCCAAACTATAAAGTGATTTCTAAATGACCAAATGATGAAACTGTCTAGCCTGCTTAGGCTTTTTGTAAATCTGTAGATGTGTAGAGGGTTGGACCGGTGGCAGTACCTGTTTGCGGGCCTGGTTGAGGCCATGCAGGCGCTGCTGGAGTTCACTACGATAGTTCTGGGCCGCCTCGATGCTTTCTTTGGCCTCCTGCAGCAACACATCCACCTCTGCAGACATCCTCCCGCCTACTGACACACACCAGAGAGGAACAGTTACAAAACACAAACAAAATGCAGCATGACTCTATGAAACCAGGGCAGAAATTTTAAATTGCACTGAAAACAAAACCTTAAACTTGAAAAAGGAAACACTGGCTTGTATTGCAAGAAAAATGTTAGTATGGAAAAAAGCAGCACTGAAAAATAAATCTATATATTGTGAATTCTGGTGAGACTTTTTTTTATGTTGATAGTTGAGGGGAGGGCCTAGGAATGCATGGTTTGCATGCTACAGAGCAACATGGAACCAGGAGGGCTTCCCTGAGTTCACCTGGAGCTCTCAAACCCAAAATGTTTCTTTTCTGTGATTTGAGCTGAAACAATGAATCGATTGAGGGAAAAAAAAAACAATTTTGAAGAAAGAAGTGTGGAAAAAAGACAAATACGAGCAGATTTCACTCTCTTTTGAGCTTGACTTAGTCATAGATCATGGAAAACTGAACACTTTTGAGAGTTCTGGACTTTTAGTGGAAGAAAACAAGACATTTCAAGTTCAAAGTGTTTATTTGTCATATGCACAGTTAGGAAACGTGTTTCCTAAAGGCGTCCTCTT